GCCTTCACCTAATATTCCTTGTGTGTGACATGATTTTTTAAAGACTAACATCATGATAGGTGATTACCATATTTTCCTAGTTGTGTTTAAAACAGTGATTAAATCAGCAACTCTGAAAATTGTCAGGCATCCCCAAAAGCATTATAGAATTCTGTTGGGATCTAAAGATTTAATAAAAGATGAAGCTTCTGAACACTAAAAAACAAAATGAACAGTTGAGTATCGTTTTTATTCAGGCCATCCCTATTCAAATCACCTTCAGAGTTTGTCAGGGACGAATACGACGACATAACAGTGTGAACACTAAAGCGTCCTAATGCATGCCTCAGAGCAATAAAGGACCCTCTAATCAACTGCGTCATCATAGCAGAGATAAAAGCAGCTGTGCAGGTTCTTTCTTCATCTTTTTTCCCATTGTAGGTGTTAGCAGGCCAGCGCAATCTAAACGATTATAATGACAAATGCAGCATGAGAATGACGTAACAAGTACGCATGGTACCCTTCCCCAAAACAAGAATTACATTTGTAAGTTGCCAATGGAGACACACTCGAGACACATGAAAAAACCAGGTGTAAATGGCTGTATGTCACTCTGTCCACTTGTGATCAAACCACTCGAGACAAATGTTAATAGCATGTAGCAACAGGGCTGGTGTGATGTCTCAAACGCTTACAAAATAAATTTAATTAGAAATGAATCATGCATTTTAAATGTACACATTCTGACAATTTCTTATCATTATACATGAGATGTTTCAAGTGTTCTGTAAAGCTGGCAACAGTTGCTGAGAAAGGATGTGTTTGTGGGTGGAGCATGGATAGGTCAATTATTTAGTGTGATTTTGTCCAACTGTTCCGTCAAGGCATCTTCGTGCTACATAGGGAGAGGCACATTATGTCCGGTGTGTGCGTGTGTATACTCATCTCCTGCCTGCCAAAGCTTACTTCCGGAATTGCTCCCCAATTAGAACGGTTGGTCCAGATTGGCTTTCAGTTACATTGTAAATGTCATCCTCAGTGTAGGGTCAGATTGAGGTTCACAGGATGTTTAGGTCATTTAGATCTCCAAGTGAAGTATCATGTCTAAAAGGTCTATGATGACCTTTTCTATCTCACAGTAAAACAACATGCACACACAAACCACTAAGCTATCCTGTTTTGATCTTGTCTTGGTCCAAACCAAAACTGAATGACAGCATAAAGAAGCAATGCATTAGCCAGAGTGAGAACTGTTCACGGTTGTTGTGACAGGCCATCACTAACCAGATGTCTGAAGCATGTAAAGCCTCTAAAAGCAACATCACAGAAAGCAATTACACTATTCCTGACAGCGGACATGTTGATTTCTGATTGTTTGAGATGAGGTTTTGGCCTATTGTTTTAAAATACATTCATAGCAGGGAAGTACATGCAGGGAGTTGTAAGGCAAAATAGCCCCCAATGAAAACATGTTTTTTCAGATTTATGACTACTACATATAAAAAATCAGAAGACACATGTAGGTTCACTTATTATTTTTGACAGATATTTGTGTTGTAGACATCGCAAACCCTAGTTCCTATTACAACCACTGTAAAGAAGTCAGATGGGTAGTCTACAACGCACTTTCACATCAAATTACTCTGAATGACTTTGTTTACATCTTTGCAAGACTGAATCATACAAAACTTAGACAAATCTGTTAGATTAATCTCAAAAATGAAATTAATCTCAAAATGTCGGTACAGGACTTGAAATTTAAAAAGGGCAGTTCATCAATCCAATCAGCATCTGGCCCCATAGTGTAGCTGGGACCTATGTGAGAAAGACACGACAGAGCGGTACTCCAGCCGCATTATCAGACACAACATTCCTTCTCACATAAACAGAACCACTGATCTCTATTTCCAGCATAAATATTTGCAAACCCATTTCTCTTTGATGTCCTTTTCTGATTTTATCAAGACGGTCACGGTCCGTCTAGAAATAACGACCAAAGAGGAGCGTTTTAGATAAATTTAGGTAAATAACTATACTGGACGTCTGTGGAATATGAACCAGCAAATATACTTCCCTAAAAAAACACTATCATTTATCCAGCCAAATATACAGCATATAAAAATAGACTGCCGTTATCAACAGGGCTTCCCAGGAACTGCTAGAGAAACACAGGTTTCTCCTCTCTCTCTCTCTCTCTCTCTCTCTCTCTCTCTCTCTCTGTCTTTTTTTTCTCACTCTCTCTCTCACCAGCTTGCACACTCACTCTTGCTCCTCAGGAGGGCCATGGTCGCCATGGCTACAGCCATTACACACACCTGCCAGTGCTTCAGGTCCCCCTATCCGCTCCCCAGCAGAAGACGTGTGTTCATTCACAGTCGCTGACCCAGACATGTTTTGATGGCATTATGCATATATGGGGCTTTCATCAGCACAGAAACAGAGCCCGACCGATACATCATTTCGATGATAAAACTGGCCAATATTAAGGTTGTACAGATTTAGCGGCTAAGTGGTGAGCAGTGAAAGACTAATATAAGCGACAAGTAACATAATTTCAGTCAAAGCTGTGTATCTAAACTACAATTTGACTGGATGTTTCGTTATGGATCATATGCAAGAGGATGTCTAGGTTAATCATTCTGGGTGTCAATATTCGAATCATGAAGTCGTAAAGTCGTTATGTGCTTGCATCACGGAAAGGAAGGAAAATGTACAGAGCAACAATTCAGTGAAACGTCACCAAGTCTTAACAGGGCTGTAAATTGTGTGGAAGCTTAAAAGTCATCTATCATCGACCAAATGATTTCCCTTGATACAATATGTTCACTTCTTTTGCAGTAAGGGATGACGGTGATGACTGGCATTTTTCTTTCCATGGGGCATGCTAGGATATTACTTGTTACTATCATTTTTTTCCCACCTCTGATACGTCAGATGGCATTTAGAGGCGATCAAAACTTCTATCAAAGATTATGGAGAAGTATTTTGTCTTTGGCATATGGCATAATGGACTGTGCTTATTGTGACAAGTATATGAACTAAAAAAAAGGCCATTTTGATTTCAGGTTGACTTTAATAGCAGTAGCGTTGTCACTACTCATGGGTCATCATACCCAGCCCTCTCACACACAACGATACACACTCAAAAATGTGTCAGCTCACCCCAGGGTTTTAAGAATGCATGGGTTCCCCACACATCTTTCACTATCTCCCTCTCTCTCTAAAGTGATAGTCTGGACCATCACCAAGCAGCCATTTTCTCCCCATCAACATGTGGGAGGGGCAGCCCGCCATGTTGACTGACTGCGATTAAAATTAGACCTCCAAATGTAAATTTAACAGGCGGAGAGAGTTAGAGAGAGGTGGACAGTTTATGCTGTGACTAATCAAAAGTCACATCAGCCGTGAAGACATCAACAACCTCCATTCTTTTATGCCCTTTTCAGATTTTAGGGAAACTCTCCAAGAAATCCAATCTCTAGTCCTTATCCTCACTTTAATTGCTGGCATCTGGCTGGACAAAAGACTTCCGACTGTCATTGAACTGTTACGGGTGCCTTTTGTTCTTCTAAATCGCTGCCCTGGCTGGTAAACAATACTTCTTGACAAAAACAGGTCAGGTCAGGGAGCGAGCTATGAAAAATGAGTACATGCAGTGCAACTAGCATAGCTATTGTGCTCCAACAATCCGAACACTGTGAGACAAAAAGAATTCTCCAGATTGGATCCTGGCATTCCTTAGCCAGGGTCCTTGATGGCCATTCATTGCTATGGAGAGTTGGTTCAATGCATTAGTCTTTGATTTGAGAGTTTCTTGCTGACAGGTACAGAGTGTAATGCTCCTCAAAATGGTATGCAAGAAAATAATACATATTTACATCTATATGTTATTAATTAATACAATCATTCATATCAATACCATATGGTAAACTGTGCAATATAGCAGATTTTCAGAAAAAAAGCTGTCAAATAGTCAGGTAAACAATAAAATCCCAATTTTCAAGAAAGGTTCCTGCCTGCAACTATGTTTAGAGTGTCTCTGTGCATTTGGCAACAGGTTGGAGTACCACAGAGCGAGGGAGAGTGGCTGAGCGAAGAGGACAGGCACATTCACCACTCCATTTCAAGACTGCTTAAAGAGTATATAAGATGTAACAATGACTGTGTTATTTACTGGAAGGCTTTATTCAGAATAAAAGACAAACGAGGGGAAAATGGCGCCTGTCGCACACAAAGGGAATTCCACGAATTCTCCGAGCTCTCTCTAACGAGCAGCGGTGGACAGAGTTGCGAGCAGCAACGAGTACCAGGCAGCGCCGACTCCCAAAGCTGACTCACACGAAGCTGTACTGCCAATACTTCTGAATGGGTGCAATTAAGCTGATTATACTGCCTAGGCTGAGAGAGATGGAGTGTGCCTGTGTGCGTGAGGGAGAGAGAAAGAGAGCGATAGAGAGGCGAGCTCTGCACTGGATGTATTTACAAACGGAGCAGGCTTGACATGAACAAAACATCCCTATTGTCCCCTTCTTTTGTCATTATACTCTGATTTGGAACCAAACTCCAACACCAAATGTGCTGAAAACATGAAATGGGGCAAATACAGATTAAGAAGCCACAAGATTAAAAACTCTGAGTCTTAGAAGGGGGGCAAAAATCTCTAAAGCAGGCTTTACTCAATAGAGCAATAAATAAGCTGACCCCGTGAAGTAGTTGGACGACGAACAAAAGAGCGACAAGCATATCCCGGGTCATGGGGAGGTGGTGGAAGACCCCTGGTACCCCCCTTGAACAAGTGCAGCCTCAAAACAAAACCATGTCATGAAGAACACACCCCTTTTCCACTCAGCTCCAGAACAAAAGAGAAGCTTCTGTTGGCTTCTCCAGCTCTGGTGTTTGAAGACAACAACTTCATGGCAAACTGGACTCTATAAGTGAGCTCATAATGACAAATGACAAATGAATGTACGCTCATCTCCATTGTTTGCATCACAAAAGCCAGGACTTTAGGTGGATGTTACCTTTTTGCCCTTCTTCTTGCGGTGGGCTTGCTTGCTGGTGCCCTTTTCCTTGGCTTCCTCACTCATCTTAGCCAGAAGATCCTCTCAGACGCTTTTAGTCCAACATGTAGAGAAGCATAGATTGTGGAAAACTCTCAGTCAAGCCTAAAGGTCCAGCTGAGAGGTCCTGCCTGGTTCTCAGCATAAACACACTCCAGCAGCACTTCAGCTGCTTTTCTCCAGATCCCACACACTCCACAGGTCAGCGTGGAGATCACTGAGACTGAGGAAGAACTGGAGGAGGAGTGGAGTGTTTGGTGGAAATCAATAAACCCACCACACTGGTTTTCTGGCCACCTTTTTGTCCAGCAAATGGTTGGCTCCACTGCCTTACTGGTGCTCCACTCTAAGTCTAAATGGTGCTGATGGAGACGCACGCTCTCCCTAGCAGCCAAACGCAGCGAGGGAGGGTGAGTGAGGGAGGGTGAGCGAGGGAGGGAGAGAGGGAGGGGGAGATTGAGAGGGTGAGGCAGGAGATAAAGAGAGAGAGAGACAGAGAGAGAAAAGGGGAAAGATACCCTTGAAACAAATGGCAGGGTGGGCACAGAGGGAGAAATTGATGGTTAATTAATGGTTAATTAGCGCTTATAGCCTGGGAACTGTCTCCCGCCGTCTCCGGCTGGTTTCTCCAGACATGCCCATTAGGAAGAAGCATCATGTCCAGATGTGACCTCAAAACGATTTGATCCAGTTCGATTTGATTATTTCGATATGGTTCAAGATTATGTTTGTAAATGCTGTGATGTTTTTAGAACATTTATTGGTAACACTTTACTCAAACCCTGTTACACAAAATTGACATATCCATGCCATAAGCATGTCATAGCCGTTGTCATATTCTGTCATGAGTTATCATAACAGATTTTGTTCAGTGATATAACAGCATTGTGTAACTATTGCTGTTAATTGTCATGCCAGATGTCATAATGTTTGATGTCACGGCAGCTAAATATGCACTAAAAAAATCTGTATAAAATGGTTAAATGTCTGGCAGCAGGCATTGAAGACAAAACCTGTAAATATACAGTCATTCAATTTCTTTGAAATGCTGCTTTTTGCTAATTTACATTCTATTTCTGTAAACTAACAAAAGTAGTGTTAAAATACAGTATATGTATGGTTTATTTGCATGTATCTTTTTTTTATTCACATTGATTTGTATTATAGAGCGCACTACACAAAAAGTGGCATGTGACATATGCTGTCATGATATCAAACAGCAAAAATCAGAATCTGTCATGACAAATCATAACACTATTGAACATCTGCCATGTTTATGGTATGATTATGTCATTGTTGTGTAGCAGGGTTCAAGTACATTTTTGCTCATTTATTTTTAGAAAAACTGCATGTTGTTAAATGAAAATTTTCATTTGACCATAAAACGAGTGCATACTGTATTAAATGTTATTACAATCAATTCCAAAAATCACAACTGATGCGATATAATTTCTCATATCCAGGCATTTATACTCTCCTAATCACCCTTAGTCTTTTCCAGAAAAGGAAGATGCTCTCAGTCAATCCCAGCTGGGATCAGGTTACTGGATCAGAAGAAAAGCGTCTCACCCCAGCCACATCCCCAGCAATCTTAAAGACAAGATTACCCAGGCACTAAGCATGTCTGTCTAATGTCCTCTCCACCAGAGGACAGTAAACACAGAGTGTGTCTGTCTCAAAGAGCCAGACACTGGCCATGTTTTTTCAGCAAAGCTGTTTTTTGCTTATTCCCACAGTAATTAAATGGAACAGGGCAGGGGTTGGTTTGAAGTAGGGCTGCAAATATGGTGTTTGTAGGGGTGTAATGATTCATACAATGTATTATTGAGTTTGATACTATACAGCAGTGTCTCGATTAAACACATTTAATAAGGAGTGGCTGAAAATGTACCTTGGATTAACATGTTTCCATTTCCAGTTTGAGAATGTAACATTGTAAACAAACAATATATCAAACCAAAGCTGCATTTTATGATGTCTCAATCTAACACTCTCCCGCCACGTTAACATGCTAGTCGCAATACAACGTTACGATACAATATGATATGCTACTATGATTTGTTGGTCATTATCATGATACTGGCCATTGCAATAACTACATTGCAGAAGGCTGCAATACGCAAAGAAGACCAATTACAAAAGGCTTTCTGACCAAAATTCAAACATTTCTGTCTCTGTTTTCATGAATCGTAACTGTCACATGATCCAGCAAACACAATTCCGGTCAAAACCATGCAGGCCAATCTTTAATCATGCCATATTATTGATTCATCATCATGGTTTTAATATTATAAAGCATAATGCATTTTTATTACAAAGCAATAAAATAGCAATATAGTATTTTTAATTGTTTATGAGAACAGTTGGAACATTGCTTTTGTTCATCTGAGTTGTTATTTAGTTTTGCTTAATTTTAATCAAATAATTTGCTCAACGTAAATAAAAGCAGTTAAAATGCTGAATACAACATGAACAACAGCACTGTGCAACAGTCAGAGGCTACTTTAATGGCCATTGCATAAAAATTAATTTTTCATGTGAAGACTAAATATCCACGTGCATAAGGAAGGAGAAAGTCAAAAGAAAATAAGCGAACAAAAACAGTGGTTTCCAAAACTGGAGTTTAAAAAATTAACAAAAAAAAGAGAAACTGGAACTGCTAACAGTCATGCAAGACCTGGCAGACCACTAAAACTGTCACCATTCGATAAAGCTGTCATCTGAAAAGATGTGTAGCTGTTGAGGCCATACTGAGAAAAGATTGTTTTTTGAATTGCAAATGAAACAATGAAGCCACTGGTGTCCTCAGAATAATGGACTGGCCAGCCCAGAATCCAGATCTCAACATCACTGAATGCAACTAACTGTAGATTTTTTTGAAACCTGAAAGCAAAGCTCCTCAGTAACAAAAAAAAAAGTTTTAAATGTAATAATATTTAGTTTATGAGGTTTGGTATGCTTCTTGCTTCAAGATGCTGAAAAATGAATAATATGTGCTTAATTGTGATCCTTACTGGAAATCAAATAAATAAAGGGTGGTCTGACTTTTGCACAGTACTGTACAAGTTCATAAATTTTTAGGTTAAAATGCCAAATTGTTTTTTATTGCGCATCTGAGCCCCAGCATGTGCCCTGAAGAGTGACAATACACGCTTTCTCCAGCCGAGCGGCACACAACTGGTCTCATGTTTTTTGAAAGAGGGCAGAGAGGCTGAACCGAAGCAGCCCAAATGTTCTCTGCTACCATAAGTCACCTACTCCTCCTACACCCAAAACTAGGTCACCACACTACTATCCAGCTTTCATGATTAATATTTAACTGTCATATTTATGGACCTCAGCAACAGTCTTGCAGGAAAGAAAATGATATGCAGTGAAAGCTGTTAAGACTATCCAATTGTGTGGACTTGTGATAATGATACTGATAAGAACATTAGATTTCATAACACTGAGCTCCATGTACACAGACACCACACAATCAATGATTCTCATGTTTCACACAGTTGACAGTTCCAGGTCAATTAATGTCTAGTTCTGTCACTACTTCAGATCAATAACAAAGCTGATGAATGAGCTTTTAACCAAGAAACTGTCACTCCCTCACAATTCTGCACCGAAGGTGATCCGTCAATGCTATTTTGTTCATCTTCATATAAGTGACGGATAATAACGCATGGCTGTAAATGGACAAATGACAAAGAGGACGCTTTTCCAAACATTAGAACTCCATTGCTGTAATTAAGCTACATAAGCCTCTCCATTCTGCCCTCTGCTGGACAATAGGTGTAATGACATAAACAAGCCCACCCTCTTCTTTACCAGACGGCATGCAAGCTGCTTGTTTGAGAGTACGGAATAAAAGCCATGACCATACATGAGTGGGTCTGAGCTTTAATATCTTCTATAGCATGTTCATTTTTCATATTTCTAAGGAGATTAAATATAAGATAATCCATTTGTATAATCAAGAGGAGAGTCAAACAGGAGTTTCCAAAACTGGACATATTGTTATCAAAAGATATACAGAAAATGGGACTCCTAACAACCCTATAAGACCCTGTAAAACTGTCACTATCAGATAAACAGTGCTTAAAGCTTTTATTTTGAGAGAGAGGAGAAAATCAAGCTCCACTCTTGCTTCAGATCTGAAAAAAAAACATAGGTGTTTCTGTCCATCCTTCCACTGTGAGAAGACAACTCAATGCTAGTCTGAAAGATGTGTAGCTGTCAAGAAGCTGTTACTGAGAAAAGAAAACAGACAAAAAAGAAGAAAATTTGCTGGTGTTCTCAGAACAATGGACTGTCCACCCCAGAGCCCAGACCATACCAGCTCAAATCTGTTTGAGATTACTTGAATACTGAAAAGCAAAAAACATAAGCAACTTTTGAGACAATATCCCTGCAGATTTCAGAGAAAAACTGAAAGCTAGTCTCCTGAGAAGAACGGAAGCTGCAAGAAAGGCAAAGGCATGAAGGACTAAATATTGAAAAATGTGATATTTAGTTGTTGAGGCTTCTGTGTAATTTACTATTAAATACATGTTTTCTGCTATTTTTCCTCATACTAAAAACTGAATAACTTTTATTTAATGGATGTTTTAAAGGGTGATCTTTGACTTTTGGACAGCATAATATATGTATAAACACAATGTGACAAAAAATATATATAAAGGGATATGTCTATTAGACTCTCTTTCCTCCTATAAGACCAGGAGATGAATTAAAAACATCGTCACCATGCAGAGTCCCAATAAATAACAGCAGAGAAGGTAAATTCGAATTTTTGAATTGAATCGATTAACCATGACAGCCCTAATCACAAACCAAGAAGTCATAGGTCTGCATCCATGTTGATCACTTGTTCTCTTTCGGTCTGAAAATAACATCGCTTCTACTGTCGCCTCATTGCTTCTGTGCTACTTGTTGGCCTCAATTCATTCTGGCAGTACAGGCTTCAGCTTTTTCACACCCAGGCGGAGGTGAGGGAGCTGGGCCTGGGCATTTTCACGCTGCCCTTCTGGCCCAACCGTGTGAAGCAGGTGCTTTGAGGACTGATGTTAGAGAAACAAATACCTATTTCTACCATGTGAAACCACAAACCGCAATGTCTAAAAGACTCTATCACGGACACAGCAAGGACTTTCATATATGTGAACATATATGTGAACAAAAATCAATGCTGAGTACTTCAACGACAAGCATGTTGGTTAATGTTTTCTGAGCAGGCCAAACTGGCCATTTTGGAGATTGTCTTGGTTGTTTTGAAGAGATTAGTGCTGCTCCTGTCACACAGAGCTTGTGTACTGAGATCAGAGTCAATGCCACTCACACAGATTGTTTTTTAAGGCCATGCTGGGGCTG